AGCATTGTGATTAATTTATCATTAATTTTTTTCAGAATTTTATCGACCTTACAATTGTTTTCTGCCGTTGAGATCGGGCATGAAATTTTACACTTGATGTGGCGAAGTTATCAGTGACTTAAGGAGTCATGGGACAGAGCATGGTAGGCGAGTGGCAGCTTGCGGGATATTTCCAAAAAAGTACTGCTATTTCGACCAACCGTGGGTCATGGTTGCGAGGGAATTTATGCCAAAAGAAAATCTGCGCTGGTTATGCTTCAAAAAAGAGAGGCACCTAATGGGTAAAGCGAGCTATTGAATGGTATGAACATGAGTGTTGATTGCATTTTGAAAAGACCGTCAGCAGGATGGAAAGATCCACTTTAATGACTGTATAATTAAGTTGATGTGACGGATTCAAAATAGCAAAGAATGGTAAAATTGTTAACTGTGCCGATGATGCAAAGGGACGCAGCAGTGAAACAACAGCTGACCAAAGTTTTAAGAAAATTTTTCGTTTTTTTAGGATGTGCGTCTTCCTGATGCTTACGAGCGACTCTTCCTGGAAGTAATTATGGGCTCGCAGATTGATTTTGTAAGAACGGATGAACTGGAGCAGTCATGGCGCATATTTACTCCGCTGCTGAAACAGTTTGAGAAAGAACGGCCAAGACCTCTTGAATACGTGTTTGGAAGGTAATTAGAATGATTCTGATTTCTTGAAAATGTTCTGGTTATCTGTTTAATGCACTGGATGCTGCTTTTTTCGTTCCGATTCTTATTGGTTTAGCCGACTCAGTTCACTTTGAGGTTATCGTATCCAGTTCGATCGTGTTGGCTATGTTCCCAGTGTTCGTTTGACATCTGTAGGCTACATTTAACGGCCTACCTTACTGTTTGCCAAATTGGCAGCAGATTTGAATGTCACTGTTTGTTTTCCCCACACTTTAAACAAACTACTACGAAGAAACCGTAGCTGTGAGGACTAACGCACCATCGACGAAGTGCAGAAAAGTGGCATTGATTAATGAATACATAGACGTAAGTATGCTTTCGGATGTACCGTCTTGAAATCCTTTTAATGTTCCCACTGGCTGGCATTTTGTTTTGTTGCGCCTTTGCGCCACCAACCCAGCTGACAAC